AACTGGATTCAAATGACACCACATAAACTGAGTGTTATTGAGTAGTATTAAACACTGTAATTTGGTAGTTAAATAACTGGATTCAAATGACACCACATAAACTGAGTGTTATTGAGTAGTATTAAACACTGTAATTTGGTAGTTAAATAACTGGATTCAAATGACATCACGTAAACTGAGTGTTATTGTGTAGTATTAAACACTGTAATTTGGTAGTTAAATAACTAGATTCAAATGACACCACGTAAACTGAGTGTTATTGAGTAGTATTAAACACTGTAATTTGGTAGTAAATAACTAGATTCAAATGACACCACATAAAGTTATAACATTTATTGAACATAAAAGCAATTACCAACACATCACAGCTAATTTCTAAAGAACAAAATAATTTACATATATATATATATATATATCTTCTATATACAAACTGTATATACAAAACAAAAACTTCAGCTTTATGACTCTCCATTTTACTTTCTATAGTTTGCTCTAATCTCATTTACAACAAACAATTATCTAGACATTTCTCTTAAAGCGACATCTGGTGGACGTAGAGAAGTATGACTTTTTTTTTTTTTAATGAAACAATTGAGTGATCATCTTCTACTTTTCCTCAAGTTTCCTAAAAATATGAAAGAGTTTTAAAGTTAAAAAGATACATAAAAAAAGTGTATTACAGAGTATGGATAGAAGACGATAATAACTTGTTTAATTAATAATAATAATTAATACAGCTGTCACGTTTATTTTGAAACTGATGAGCTTCGAAGCAGTCCGTGAGAGTTGGGTAACGGATGAAGTAAAATCTAATAATTGTGATCACAAGTAGAGGTAAGTCCAGTTTTATAAAGTATGAACAAATTTCGCAGATCAAGAAGATATTATTATTCGGAAGCGTAAAGAGAACAAAAACTACATCTCTAGACAAGGAGGGTTTTCATTTGGTAAGTGTAGTCAAAAATATCGAAAAACGACCACACGGACATAGTTGAACAGAGTTGTTTAAACATTTGTTTAACAATAAATAAAAGCTTGAGATGGTCAATTCTTTCATTGCGGGTCAGACTAGTTTCGGAGAATTCCAATCCTGATCAGTGACCCTGACCACGTCATTGCGGGTCAGACTAGTTTCGTAGAATTCCAATCCTGATCAGTGACCCTGACCACGTCATTGCGGGTCAGACTAGTTTCGGAGAATTCCAATCCTGATCAGTGACCCTGACCACGTCATTGCGGGTCAGACTAGTTACGAAGAATTCCAATCCCGATCAGTGACCCTGAGCACGACCATCGAATGAAATTTCTGACCAAACCAAGCCTTTATAGAAGTGAGGTATCGAAAATCGAACTGGTGTATTTAAGTGTTTTACACTCACAAAAAAGAAACCTATCATTCTATAGGTATTTGAAGAACTTGTAGCATTCCGCCACAATTTAGTTCTTCGTGTTTTTAGCCTACACTGGGAATTTGGTACAAAAATGAACAGTGTTGTTTAAACATATGTTTAACAAGTCACTGATGAGGAGTGGAATTCTCCGAAACTAGTCTGGCGCCCAGTCATACCCCCAATGAAAGAATAGACCATTCCAAGCTATTACTTGTTGTTAAACAAATGTTTAAACAACTCTGTTCAACTATGTATGTATCAGTTGCCCAGTGTAGGCTAAAAACACGAATAATTAAATTGTTGCGGAATGCTACAAGTTCTTCAAATACCCATAGAATGATAGGTTTCTTTTTTGTGAGTGTTAAAACACTTAAAAACACCATTTCGAACAACACGGACAGTTAGAACGGCCAATAAATTATAACCTAATTCAGACAATGAAGTCAAACGTTGAAAATATAAATAAATGAAACATACAAATAAAAGAACGATAGTTCATTACTCTCGATCTAGAAAAGAAAATATCAGAATATCATAGGAGTTGAGAAGAAATGGGATGATGACAAGATGAACAAAATAATACTGAAGCTGTATTATCTGGATGGATGATGTTTTTATATAGACATGGTTACCGTACTTACTGAAGCTGTATTATATTGAAGGATGGGGTTTTTATATAGACATGGTTACCGTACTTACTGAAGCTGTATTATCTGGATGGATGATGTTTTTATATAGACATGGTTACCGTACTTTACTGAAGCTGTATTATATGGAAGGAGGGTGTTTTTTATATAGACATCGTTACCGTACTTACTGAAGCTGTATTATCTGGATGGATGGTGTTTTTATATAGACATGGTTACCGTACTTATCTGTAGAGTTGGTGTTCTTGTGTACAGTTCTATCGTTATTGTATAACACAGCATGCTCATGAGGGATTTTGGAATGGCTTGATTAGCATAGACCAGAAGACATTAATCAAGTCTGGAATGTTCTTCTAAACCTTGAATGGCAAAGTTGATTATTTTAAGATAAAGAAATATATATAGTTAAAATTTAAATTCATTCGTCAAAATATTTATCTCAATTTTACAATACTTTTGTAATCCCATAGCTATTCAAACCACAGGGGCAACATAGAACAGTTCAGATGTGCATATTCAAACCACAGGGGCAACATAGAACAGTTCAGATGTGCATATATATGTTTATAGATTTTTTATGTGTGTGTGTGTGTGAATTGGACTAATACATAGCAAAAAAAAACATCTCAGCACACACATTACTTATAAAATAACAGAAAAACACCAGTTATAATCCCTGTCAATCCTCTCTCACTAGAGTAAAAAAAAAGAGAGCATGACCACAGTTTCCAGATGGTTGATACTCAAGTCACATAAAAAAAACAGTTAATTTTATGAACGTTCTTTAGCTGTATTGTATCCACGTCAGTAGAACGTACACGACAAGCACTCAAGCCTAAAAAATATATATACAACATCAACAAGTTTGAAATTGAAGTTCGTGATGCGTTCATTCTGATTGGCGTCATGAACTCTAATGTCACAGTTCGTTCACAAGCTAACAAAAAATTTGGAAACATAAATACTTATTATGTAAATCTCCCTCTTTCGGTAGACGCGCAATGCAAGTACACTATTTTTTAGTTATTAGTTTAGTCCAAGCTTCAGTGAACAGTCTCCAGCTCACACCACAAATTAAAGACTACCGAATCTGGAAATACACAAGTAGATTCAGTGAAACCTGTTATCGGTTTCATATTCTTGAGTATAGAGTTTTTTTGTCGGTGAACTCAGTGTTTTCACTGAGAACGTTTGAAACGTCACACTTTCGTAACAGATTTCAACTACACGTGTCATCATAACAGAGGACATCGTTATCCAGATCGTGTGCGGGGTATTTTGATAGGGTTTGTTCCAGAATTAATGAGAACAGCGTGATTAATTTGGGTTCCGGTTGACTTATTTCGAATCTTACGTTAACGGTCTTAGTTATCTATAGAATCCAGTCACTCGCTGATCACAGTTTGTAACCATCAGATTCTAAACATATGTTCTATTTCCCTTCGCTAACTAACGAGTCCGGACTACCGTAGCCACTCGAAGCGTCATCTTTAACACCAGAAATCAAGCTCTCCGTCTGTTTCTTCAGCTGCGTAAGGCTGTCTCCTGTATAGGGCAGATTGGCGAATAAAACTCGTTCTTCGTAATCATATACGCATAACACTCTGTTGTTGTACAAATAAAATCTGTCTCCAACGCAGAACCTAGAAGAAAAAAGTTAAAAATTAATCTCATGAAAATGTTGGACAACTATCAGTCAGACACATGTTTCTCAAAAATGTGACTCATAAACTATGTTGGGTCTAGACCCTTATTATCTCCTTACAAAGTTAAGATATAAACTATGTTGGGTCTAGACCCTTATTATCTCCTTACAAAGTTAAGATATAAACTATGTTGGGTCTAGACCCTTATTATCTCCTTACAATGTTAAGATATAATCTATGTTGGGTCTAGACCCTTATTATCCCCTTACAACGTTAAGATTTTCTAAACTAAAGCCTCCACTCGCTCAGCGACAAGTCTGAGGGCTAAAAACCGGGTTTTGTTACCCGGGGTGGACACAGCACAGATAGCCCATTGTGTAGCTTTTTGGAGTATTTCGAACGAAGTATGGATTACGCCATTTCTGATAGGTTTATTCTTACTCGCATCTTACTTGTGGTTACACAGTTGACTAGGATCTGCGTGTTCAATAGTTTATCAAAGTTACTTTCTAATGTATACACTTAGATAAATATCAATAAACAACCAGTACAATTCTACCTGTGGTTACACAGTTGACTAGGATCCGCGTGTTCAATAGTTTATCAAAGTTACTTTCTAATGTATACACTTAGATAAATATCAATAAACAACCAGTACAATTCTACCTGTGGTTACACTGCTGACAAGCGAAACACTCCAGATGATACACGTTTCCTCTGGCTCTCATCACCATCTCGAAGGCTGGGATGGTTTTGTTACAAGCTGAACAAACACCAGTGGTACCGAACAATCTGGTTGGAATCAAATAACAATGCAATCAATAAAATATTTTCAGACTTCTACCGGAAAAATTGTAAAAATTGTACTCCCCTAGTGGTGAAGAAAAGATAACAAAAACGTATTATAAATCAGTAATAAAAATCTGTTAAAAATTCCAAAAAAAAGGTAATGGTTAATCTTAGAAATTAATTCGCTCATCTAAGCAATTAAGGATTATAGCGCCCTCTTGTGACAAGTTTAATAATGTATTCGCATACTCTTTGTTTTACTGTATTACATGATGTTGAAAAAAAATTAAACTTGCAGTAAATAATTAATAAGAAAATAAAAGTTTTTTGCCTGTATAGTTTCTAATTAGATGCCATCTTGGTTGAAACTGCAAAAAATGGTATATATGCATAGAAAACAAAACGTTTTATAAAATTTAATTTAATTATTTAAGTTTCTGCACCAGCCGTCCCTAATTTAGCAGTGATAACTTAGAGGGAAGGCAGCTAGTCAATATCACCCACCGCCAATTCTTGGGCTACTTTTTTACCGACTACTAGTAGGATAGACCGTCACATTATAACGCCCCCACGGCTGAAAGGGCGAGCATGTTCGGTGACGTGAATTCGAACCGGTGAACAATTCATCATTACAAGTATTTATAAATTTTAAGTAATGTTTGGCATTATTTCAATCGAGTATGGTGTTACACAACGTGTCATTTGTGGCCCGGAAAATACCAGTGTATAAACTGTACTTAATTGAAACCTGGCAACCAGAAGAAGGAGAAGAGAATCTGATGTGTATAACAAAGCCTGAAGAAACCATCAGAATATTTCATGGTATATCCATTAATTGAAACCTGGCAACCGGAAGAAGGAGAAGAGAATCTGATGTGTATAACAAAGCCTGAAGAAACCATCAGAATATCTCATGGTATATCCATCACCCCAGATAACGGCATAACATAACTCTTTTTTGTAGTGAAATAACACGAAACGTTTTCTAACATATCACAATCTCCATTGTATACAACGGCTCCTGCCAATCAGACATACAGACTATTTCAGATACCAATTTTTAACTTTCTTCTTCTATTTACATTGGACTGGGCGTAGCCTAGTGTTTAGCGTGCCCGGTCTGTAAATCTAAGGTTTCACGTTTCGCCCCCCTTTGTCTCAAGAACGCGCCCCGCACTCTGAAACTGAATGTGTTTTGAAAGATTAACAGTGAAATCCTGCTATTCAGTCATACAGGGGTATCTCAAGAGTTGGCGGTGGGTTCTGTTGAATAGCAGCCTTACCTCTAGTCTATCAGTTCAAAATCGGAGACAGCTGTGCACAGATAACTCTTGTGTAGCTTTGTGGGAAATTTTGAAACAAACAGATAACATTTTTTTTTTCAGCTGATCGGTTACCTTAAAAATTCCAATGAAATTTATTATCTTTAAAAAATTAATTTAAACTTTTTTCTTCGATTCTCAGAGTTTCCAGCTTGAAGAAAATGTTCCATCTTTGTAGACTTCCTAACCTGAGATAATCTCTCTTGCAGAGGATGAGATTGGCCTTGGTGAAGAGAGTGGAGCCCACCTCTCCAAGTCTACAGTCACAACAGGTACACTTGAGACAGTCCTCGTGCCAGAACTGGTCCAGAGCCTTTAGTAGGTATCTCTCTTTGATAACTTTCTGACAACCAGCGCACTCTGGTGCCGTCCCCGTGTCAACAGGAAGTCGCTGAGATATTTCTTGCTTCATATCCATTCTAAACAAACCTAGACAAGATGTTAAAATATTAATATTTAGACCCACATAAAAAATTCCAGTGGGTTGTTTTTATTACAGTGACATCAAAAAAGTTATTTTAATGAATTGCCAATATTTGTGTTGATTTTATCTTATGTGGTCATGTCCCCAAGTGGAAGAGCAATAAGTCTACGGACATACAACGCTAAAATCCATGGTTCGATTCCATGTGGTGGACTCAGCAGATAGACCAATCCTCAAAAATATTCAAACAAGTTATGTGGTCATTATCTCAATTCTTCGAGAAAGGAATGGAAAAACTAAGATAAAAATTAAAGATCTTACATAAATATACATAAAAAAACACACTGAAATAAACGTTGAAGACAGGAAATACATAATGTATTTTGTTAATAATTTTTATTTTTTGTGCTCCCAACGATAATAAACGAAATATTGTTTTTGCTCCTAATACGAAACATAAAACCTTAGGAACAAAATGAAAACAAGGTATAGTGAAGGGTAAGAACGGACGAGTCAAAGAAGGATTTACAACAACCTAGACATAAATTTCCGCAAGGCTTTGAAGTTTAGTAAGTAATGTCAATACATTTTCATATCATTTCCGGTTAGTCTTGGTACGCTGGAAATGAACAGGTTTTGCAGCCCAAAGGCAGGAAATGTTTTAACTTGATACTAGCGGCGATATGAGGATACCACTGAAATTGGTTCTGTCAAGAACAGTTCGACAAGCTATTAGAATGGCTTTCTTCTTTAGTTGCCAACCTACAGGACCCACTGATTAGTCATTGTTGAAGATTCGTTGTCGACTGTCTCAACAAAGTTATACCATTAAAGACTTTAACAAAACAAATTATTTTATTACTAACAAGGATTTCTGAGTGAACGTTCTTGTTAGTTTGTTTATTTGTGGTTATGGACAATGGACTATCCGTGCTTTGGCACCACGGGTATCGAAACCCGGTTTTTACCGCTGAGCCACTTGGAGCTCCGAGTGAAAATAAAATGTAATGTATAATAACTATATCTTTTATTGTCAGTGCCGACGAGGCCTTTCGCTAATACCAAGGCTCTTCAGACCGGTTGGACAACAACTATACGGTGTGAACTGGATTAAGCTGTTGAACTGTACGGTGTGAACAGGATTAAACCGTTGAACTGTAATTTTTATCAATTTTATTAATGTCACGACATAGCAGAATTGTGGTAAGTATTTCATATTATCTATTCGTTTTAAGTCCCCTGGTGGAACAGGGGTAAGTTTACAGACTTACAACGCTATAATTCGCAGTTCGATTTCCCGCAGGGGACTCAGCCCTACAAATAAACGAGTCGTTTTAAAACCATATATTAGTAACTACTATTATTTTTAATTAACCTGATTATTATGTAGAGGAAGTCTATTAATATTATTATTATGATTTGTAAATTCTCGTGTATTTGCATTGAATTTAATTAGAATACCGGCAACATCTGACACTTTTAATATAAATTTGGTTATTTGTTACCTTTCTGTTAAGTTTTGTTACAATAAACTTCACATTTTATTTGGTTGTACAAACAAAGCTTCGGGAACTGATTCGATTTAAAATGTAAAGAGTTTGAGAGAACAATGCATAATCAATTATACAGACAATTTCCATTTTCATAGTTCTAACAAGAGTGTCGGTGCAAGGGGGCCGAACCCCCTGAAATGTCGTTGCTCCAAGCTAAAGCCATTCATTTATTTAATTATAGACTTATCTTAGATTTAGCTCCATTTTGTATATGAAATCTCCCCCTGACAACTTGTGCATTTTAGATCCTAATATATGTAATGTTAGGTTTTTATACGTAATCGCATTGGAAGATAAAAAGACCTGCTATCAAGAGTTAGTCGAAGATAATTGAATAAAGTAATGTTTCTTATATAAACACGTGACTTGAATCAATAACGTAATATCTTACCACGCCCACAGCTCACTCAGAAGTTCTTATCTTAATACACATATTTCTTGAGTGACGACATTTGTACACTACCAGAACAATAACTCCAGATTCTCACGTCAGGGGGGGTTGTAGTACATATATATAGAGAACTTGACTGCCACCATTTTACATTTTAACACATTTCGTTTTGTTGTAAAGAAGCATGTTAAGCAAGACAGCAGATTTAACTTTCAACTGTGATTAAGCCTAATGTACTACACAATACATTATCAGTAAGAGTTGAGATTACTAAACGCTACTGATCGTTACTTTAACGATAAGAAACGTAAACCAAAAAAGGAACGACAAGCTCAAACTAAGAACGTTTCAATATATTATTGTAATAACGGTTTCTATTGTTATGTGGGATCTGGAATAAACAGGAAGAATTGTGTATGAAACTGTGTGCATATTAATATGGTGTAGTAATAAGGTACGAGAGTTTCAATGTATTATTGTAACCACGGTTTCTATTGTTATGTGGGATCTGGAATAAACGGGAAGAATTGTGTATGAAACTGTGTGCATATTAATATGGTGTAGTAATAAGGAACGAGAGTTTCAATGTATTATTGTAACCACGGTTTCTATTGTTATGTGGGATCTGGAATAAACAGGAAGAATTATGTATGAAACTGTGTGCATATTAATATGGTGTAGTAATAAGGTACGAGAGTTTCAATGTATTATTGTAACCACGGTTTCTATTCTTTTAGATTAATCAGCAAATAGAAGAATTCAATGTCCAGTTTCAATGTCCGGTCCACTTAATGGTAACGAAAGTGATTTATTAGCCAGACTACAGGTTCTAAAGTTACCTTCGCTGATAGGCCTAAGTTCACAGTAGACGCTAATACAACAATTTCACTTACTTGCTAATTTATCCTGCTGTATACAACGTTCAAAAACACAGGATTAATAATTCAAAACTGAACTAACTGACTGACTAATAAACTGGCCTAAGTTCACAGTAGACGCTAATACAACAATTTCACTTACTTGCTAATTTATCCTGCTTTACACAACGTTCAAAAACACAGGATTAATAATTCAAAACTGAACTAACTGACTGACTAACTCAAGCAAAGAATAACTCACACCTCAGACTCAAACTCTATAATCATCAACTAGGTTCTACCACTTGAAAATGACCGATGTCAGTGATGTATAAACCAGTTTGCTTTTCTTGGGGATCGTCTAAACCAACTACTTTGTAACACTAAGACCTTCCCATATATCAAGTGACAGCTGAACAATGTTTTGTATTACTTAAACTCATTTTATGAAGTTTCAAGGTAAATAAAACTTGGTGAAACAATTTATTAATTAATCATTTAGTAACGAACAACAGAGGTCTCAAGTAAAATATCCACCCGCTACGAAATGGTAGGAGAACAAGGTTAGAAGTCTCAAATATAGACAACTTTTCAACATCCACTTAACAATTAAAAATCGTTATTTTACCGATCGCTGTTTGTATTAGGGCTTGTAACATTAAAAACCCGGGTTCGATACCCGCAATGGGCAGATCACAGACAGTTCATCGTATAGCGTTGCACTTAACAACTAACTAAACTTAAATGTCCCTTACGGACTTACAACTCTAAAATTCGAGGTTCAATTCCGTGTGGTGGACACAACAAAGATAACCAATCTTTCAGCTTTGTGATAAAAGAAACAGTCAACTATACTACAAAACAAATGATATTCTAATTTAGGTTTCGCCATTAGAACTGATGAGTCAATTCTTACTAGGTCAATTTTTAACACTGATCTATGTAAATAACTTGTTTTGTTAATAAACACTTTTAAACACAAAGGTCCTTGGGCGTTTACCTAATAATTGTTATTTTAAAATGTCACGGTGGGACAGGCGGTAAGTATACCAACTTTCAACGCTAAAATCCTGGGTTCGATCCCTCATGATGGACACAGCAGATAACCGAATGTAGCTCTGCTCTAAAAAAAAAACAACCTTTAAAAATTTTTCAAAAGGTCAGTAGATAAAAAAAAGGAATTGTTAGTCCAAGAGGGTTAAGATAATTTTCATTGTCTCTTTTTTTTTTAAGCACTAAACCAGCCAGACTTTCTGTCCTAGTTTATTTCTCAGGTGTTTTAAATAATTAAAGTTTTCTCTAAATTCTATCAAAAGTATGTTTAATAATATTTCACCTTAAGATATTTCTTTAAACACCACATTCCTGAAAATCGACAAAACTAACTTAGCATTTAAAAACTAATGAAAAAATGAACTAAAACAAGCGTTTAACACCACTCATGAAGTGCTTTATATATCATTTTAAAGCAGGTGTTTAGCACAACTTATGGAGTGTTTCATCACTTGCCTTAAAATAATATATTTTAGCACAACTTATTGAGTGCTTTATATCTTTATATATTATTTTAAGACAAGTGTTTAGCACAACTTATGGAATGCTTTATATCTTTATATATATAATTTTAAGGCAAGTGTTTAGCACAACTTATGGAGTGCTTTATATCTTTATATACATATATAATTTTAAGACAAGTGTTTAGTGGAACTTATGAAGTGCTTTATATATCGTTTTAAGATGGTCATGGTTTAATGGCTAACCGGCCCGGTTTTAGCTCGCCAATTCCAAGGTTCGCATCGCGACATGCCGCTTAACACATTCCTCAAAATCAACCGAAGGAACGTTGAGAGGAGGGCAGCGGGTGATTCTCAGGATTTCTGAAACCAGTAATAACAAGGTCCGAACACTGGCAGGCTCCAAGCCGGTAGTGTATCCCGTGTCGAACAGATTGAATATTGTTACGTCTCCGTTAGTTAGTTGATTTTCCGTAACTTCGTTCCCACGAAACTTTAGCGACATAAGTCCTTACTTAATAAAACAGGTTTATTCTTTCCGAATATAACTTTACCGATACACTTATTTCAACATTCGCGCTAAAACAAACGCTATAACGAACTTCAACAATACTCTTTGACTGCAGATCAATTACTCACTGCCTACACACATTGTCACGTCACGCCGTGACCATCTTATATATACCAGACCACCCCCCAATCTAGTAAATGCTAGAGCACTCCCAAAGGAACGGGATAGTTCTAGAAAGCAGGTGGCGTGACACTAGTCACGTGACCTCGCTGACGCAACAATATAAAAATGATATAAATTACTAACTTTCAGATATTCTTCAATCACCCCCTTTCCAGTATACCGAGAGAGAAAATTAACACACGTTCCAATAATATATAGAATATAAACACACGAAGTGTAAAAAAAAAACACAAGGATGAATTAGTTACCTACGGGAATGTTCGACAATCGAACGGCTCGCGTTAAGCAATTTTGACGAAAATCTCGAACAATCATCCCCGAAGAAATCATTTCGATATGTACACGAATCTACTTAAATGTTTCCGTCTTGCAGATCCGTATCTTAAAGAAACATGCCACACACACTTTTGTATACTGTGTCCCTAACAGCTGTCTACTGGGAGGAAGGTAAAAAAAAAAAAATGTGAAATCCCCACCGGAAAAATAACATCTTCGGGAGAAGTCTATTATTTGTGCCAGGTTTGACTGCTGAAGGGTGGACTGAAGCTTATCCGAGCGACTAGACTTGAGAAACCAACCGGAAACCATCAGACTGAAAGATTACTGAGCCGTCGACCATGCTCAACGTGAGCGCCTAATAAGGTAGTGCACTGTAACAGCTATACAGGTTAAGTCACAAGCTGCATGAGAGGCGAAGCGAGCGCGAGGGAAATGATTAAATACATATTCTCCTGTCAAAATAGCGAAGAATCTGCCACGGTGAAAGACCAATGAATACTATTAGATCACTAGTCAGCCTGTTATCGTACTAGCCACGCGCCACCTTGGAAAGGGGGGGAGGGGGATCTTCGCAAGCAGCCAGGCGCGAGCTCAGTGTGGAAAACGGGTGAAGCGTTCGGTAGCTACGCGGCAACACTCTCCCGCGCTGTTGATCATCGCAGGCGCAGATAATTCACGTTTCGGGGCGGACGGCCAAAGTAAATAATCAGAAAGCATTATAAGTTGACTGTTCCTGCTGTCTGCCACCTTTCTCTAGTGTAGAAGGAAATGATGATTATGAACTGAGAGTGATTCATTTTGTGAAGAAAGCTCGTGGAGTTTATGTACCGCGAGTCATTTTCAGGTCAGTTTCTCTCGTCAATCCTGGGTGGCTCATAGCTTAGATTAACATTACAGAAGAAATACACAAACTACAACTCCAAGGGTGTTCCACTGGTATAAAACAAAACTATTACTCCAACATTGTTCCACTGGTATAAAACAAAACTATTACTCCAACATTGTTCCACTGGTATAAACAAACTATTACTCCAACATTGTTCTACTGGTATAAAA